ATTGGGGGGCGCTAAGCCACCAAACGAACCCCCCCCGCCCGGGCTGCAGCCCGCGCCGGGAACAGCCTCTCCCTTGCGAGGAACGGCGCCCTCGCTCCCGCAGCCGCCGCGGGAAACGGCGTTTCTCTTCATTGCGAACCCCTGTTTGCAAAAACAAACAGGCTTCGGAGAAACCCCGACCCGATCTCCGGAGGGTCCAGCGCGTCCCGTCGCCGCTAAATTCCCCTTTGCCGCGAGGGAGGGGAGGCGGAGAAAACGGAGGGGAGTTTCGGGTGTTTTTTGCTTCCGTTCTCTCAGCCTGGCCCGCTTCTCCGTTGGTCGGCAGGCGCCCGGGGAAGTCATCAACACCCTGTGCGGATACAGGACGCTCGGTAAAGAGGTGACGTACGCTTTCCCCCTTTCTCCGGACGCAGATGCGTTCGGGCGACCTCCTGCCCTGGGCACGAGAAATCACATCCTCCCCCAAAGGCAAAAGCTCAGTGAAAATCACAGCGCTGCTTTTCACCCGGGAATACTTTCTTCTTTTTATTCTTCTTATTCTTATTCTTATTATTTTGTCCTTCAGGCTTGCTAATTCCCTAGAACTTTGGGGCAATTATTACGTTTTCTTCCCGATTCCTTTTTCCTGCTGCACGGCCTCAAAGCAGGGGCTGGCCTGCTGGGGGTTTCTTGCCCAAGAATCAGATCAAGATATAGATATATATATATGTATATATATGTATATATATGTGTATATATGTGTATATATATGTATTTTCCTTTTGCTCCCCAGACAAGTTAATAGCTTTAGTTCCTCGCTTTCAGCGGAAACAGCCTTCGGGGAGGGAAGATGAAGGGCTGAGACAGGTTTCGCGTTGATAAATCACTGGAGAGCAGCAGGAGGCACGCACTGATTTATGGCTTTCCAGCCCGATTCGGTGCACCCGTTTGACTCATTTTTTCCCTTTTTTCCCCCTGTCCCCCTTCCCTTTGGTCGGTTGCCCCGGCTCTCGCCCTGGCTGACCGGCGTCCTTGCCCTCCGCTCGCAGCGCCTGGAGCTGCTCGAGGTCATCCACGTGCGGGGCTGCGTCCACGCCGTGGGGATGTG